AGGCCACCAAGTTGGTGTTTGGGCAGTTTCGGGTCGGCTCTCTTTGGCTGTGGGACTCTCTCTGGATTGACTCGGTATCCATCGGCTCAGCTTGGTTTCGCTGCTTAGGAAGGGCTTATTTAGTGTGCTTAGTGTTTGTTTGTTGCTTTCTGTGATTTTTGTTCGTTAGTTGGTCTGTGTGTTTGTTTGTCTTTGTTTGGATATGAATACAGGCTAGGCATTGTGCAGTGGCTCTGCTATTTATGTTCCTTTATTTTCGGTTGTGGAGTTCTCTAGGCCGCCATGTGCGTGTCCTCTCAGTTTTCTCTTCCTGTTCTTTTATTAGGCGTGTTTTTGGTTTGGGCCGTTGGCCCCTGTCTCATTACCCTGTTGGGGTCTTAGATTACCCCGTTGGGGTCTTGTAATTTGTTCTCTTTGCACTTTTGTGCTTTTTATAGTACATCTATCGTTCCGGCAACTCTTTATTTGACATATTTTTAATGTCAAATTAGTAATATACTAATGCTTATTTAATATTTAATTAATTAAATACAATTACACAAACCAAATATTCTAGACTAAAGTGCAATTTCTATTCTAGTTCTAAATATAAGAGTTTACTTTTCTTAAATAATGAAGTAGCTAAATGAAATTGTTTAATTTCGCTAGTTTGTAAGATAATGTATAAATTTATATTAAAAACAAGGATTTTTTTAAAACAACAATTCTATATCTTTTCAAAACTTTGTTGTTTAGGTTGATGTTGGGTTGATTTTTGGGAGATATGTGGAAGAAAGCCATTTCGTGATAAAGAATGGTGCATGAATATTTTGTTTGATTTTTAGGAGAGGTTAAATGTATTGTTCTTGTATTTGTATTTAATAAATTAAGCATTACTTATTAATTAAAAATATAAGATATGATGGGTATTAGTGTATTACTTATTTGCCATTAAAAACATGTTAAAGTAAGGTTATTTTAGGTAGTTCATATTTTTACAAAAACACTCGTCCTTTTAGAGTAGTATAGATGCTATTAGCCAACAATTATATATATAGATTTATCTCGAGTTTATCTGTATATATTGATGTTTCTGCCATTGTAATTGTAGTATAATGCGTGAATCCAATGAAATCCACAGCACTATCGATATATTAGGTGTTGCATCATCATACTTCCTAGTACATAGGTATCAAACATGCCCATATTGAGGCACAAAAACCAAACTAGATTCACTCCAATAATCTGAATCATTCTATCAACTAGTTAACCACATAAAATTAATTGTTTCGGAAACTTAAAACCAATAATCGTGTAAACCTAAAACAAATTGCACCCGATTCTCGTCAAGCAAAATGAGTAAATATCGCTTCACCATCACCATCGTTCGAATTAACATGAGGGTTATTTTCTTCGCCATTGACAAACTACGTCCAATTAGCCTTCAAGCATCCTCTCTCAGATTATAGCAATCCACTTGTAATATAAAGAAATAATAAAAAGAATAATGAGGGAGAGACCGAGAGAGATAAGAGGGATTGTAGAGTATAAAGGACAGACTAAACAAAATGGATGAAAGATAAAAGAGAGAAGATAGAAAGAAGAAAGAAGAAAGGAGATGGAGAGAATTAATGCGGAAAGAAGAAAGAAGATGGAAGAGAGAGATATTTTCTTATTTAACATCGGGAAAATTTCAGTTTTGGTACCCTAAATATACATATTTTTCGGTTTTGATACCCCTAGTTTCAATTTAATCATTTCAGCCACTCAAGTATTCAAAATCCATCATTATTGTCCAAATCGTCAGTTGACCGTGAGTCAACTGACGGCCACCTTCTCTAGCAGGTCATCTCCTTCTAGGGAAATTTCACTTTTGGTACCCCAAGTATACATACTTTTCAGTTTTGATACCTGTTGATATCCGGGTTGGGCTCGTATGAAGGTAACGATCCGAGGGACCGGGAACCGGGCGAAGTCGGCCCGACCGATGGGGCCGGTTACAGAATTAACTCGGAGGTGCCGATCTGAGCCTAGGTCAAGGTCAACGAGAGCGGTGGACGGCTTTGTTTCCAAGGTCGGCACCTTATCTTCCCCGTTAAGGAGCCGGCCTGGTTAAGTGCCTTGTAGAGATGGGATCCGGAAGACCGGGGGATGGACTGAGTGCCAGCGCCCGGCCTGGGATCCCAAGAGGCCGACCTTCGTAAGAGTTAAGGCTCTGGGAAACAGTGAAATGAGGCCTCTTGTCAATCAATGATTATCGATGGGACATCCCAGACTAGCCTGCAGGTCTAGAATATCTAGCCCGGCTAGATAGCACGTCCGCATTTAATGCAGCCCACACAAACATTAAATGCCCTGCAGGTAATGATTGGAAGACCCAGAAATCACTCCCAACCAGTCAGAGAAACGCCGACTTGTCTTGCCGAGTTACTGTACGACAAGACCCACGAACAGTATCTAAATAGTGTCGCATTTAAGGACCCTATAAATAGAAGCTTTGAGCATTTATTTTGGGTTGTTGAATCCCCAACTGTCTACTCTCTACTTTCTCTCTCTAAGCTTGTAAGCTACCTGTGTAAGAATTTGTAAGGATATCGCAAGTGCCGACCTCGTACGAGAGGCCGACCTCGTGATCAATTAGTAAAATCGTATTTGAACCGTATTCTCTTGTTTTTCTCCTATTTCGTATTCGTTTTCCTATTTCTTTAACCGTTGATCGGAAACGTCCATCAACTATTCAGATACTGTTCGTGGGTCTTGTCGTACAGTAACTCGGCAAGACAAGCCGGCTTTTGTCTGACTGGTTGGGAGTGATTTGTGGGTCTTCCAATCATTACCTGCAGGGCATTTAATGTTGGTGTGGGCTGCATTAAATGCGAACGTGCTATCTGGCCGGGCTAGTTATTCTAGACCTGCAGGCTAGTCTGGGATGTCCCATTGATAATCATTGATTGACAAGTGGCCTCCTTTCAATGTTTCCCAGAGCCTTAACTCTTACGAAGGTCGGCCTCCTGGGATCCCAGGCCGGGCTCTGGCACTCAGTCCATCCCCCGGTCTTCCGGATCCCATCTCTACACGGCACTTAACCAGGCCGGCTCCGTAACGGGGAAGATAAGGTGCCGACCTTGGAAACAAAGCCGTCCGCCACTCTCGTTGACCTTGACCTAGGCTCAGATCGGCACCTCCGAGTCAATTCTGTAACCGACCCCATCGGTCGGGCCGACTTCGCCCGGTTCCCGGTCCCTCGGATCGTTACCTTCATACGAGCCCGACCCGGATATCAACAGGTATCAAAACTGAAAAGTATGTATACTTGGGGTACCAAAAGTGAAATTTCCCCAGAAGGAGATGACCTGCTAGAGAAGGTGGCCGTCAGTTGACTCAGGGTCAACTGACGATTTGGGTAATAATGATGGATTTTGAATACTTGAGTGACTGAAATGATTAAATTGAAACCAGGGGTATCAAAACCGAAAAGTATGTATACTTAGGGTACCAAAGTGAAATTTTTCCTTTAACATCCCATCGGTTACGAGAATTAAATGGTTTGGTATGGAATAAGATTGTGGTATAGTAGATATTTAATGGTAATATTAAAAATAAAGTTTTTTAATCGTATTTTTAAAAATAAGTATAATTTCAACAATAAGGCAAATAATTTTCTCTTATATGTTTTCCCATCTAGGCATAATGTGAAAGTTATAGTTGTCCATTTTTCGTCTGTACCTTAATTAATTAGCAGAAAATGAAAAAGGTGTTCTTTAAATTGTCAAAAAATTAAACGTTGTACTTAACTTGCAATTGAAGAAAATGTTGTAATTTATTTTCCAAATTATTTATTATAATTTGAAAACGTGTGATGTGAAAATAATAATTAACTAGTACAATTCCCGTGTATTACACGGGTGTTGAATTAGAAAGTTTTTGTAAAAATATTAAATTTTTTATTTTTTTAAAAACTAAAATAATTTAATTTTATATAAAAAATTACTTTTGGATTTAGTTAAATTGTCAAATTATATTTTTTTAATCATAATAATTAAACACCCGTACATTAAATGAAAATGTCAACCCGTGTTGAATTTTTTACTTATATTATATAAAAATATCGATATTATTTACTATTACATAAGTATAAAAATATATATCTTAAATAGATAGAAATAATATGGTGATATGTATATGCGTGTATAATATGTTTATTTAATATTAAGTAAAATAGATTAATTTTTTTACTTAATTAGATGCCTAATACATTAACTGTCGTATCAATAAATTTTCTACCTTATAACATATAACTACATTAAACATAAATATATTAATTGATAAATAATTTTATTTTCTAATAATTTTAATAAATAATTTTATTATTATTATAAAGATAAATATAATTTATTTATTTTATATATACAATATGGATGTCAAATCGAAGCTCATCAAAAGATGATTAATTTGATATATTATATATGTAAAACCGATAAGAAATACAAAAGTTATCAACTTTTAAAATATATATACAATTCAATGGTTATAATAGGAAATGATATTAAAATAGAATAATACAAATATTAATTTATATCCAAGCCTAACTCCAAAGCATAATTTTTTGCCAAATAAGATTCTGAAGCATGAGAGTTTGCCACGTAGGCTCAGCGCATTCTCAAATTATATAAATNT